AGCTGGATAATTTCCAGAGACCCCTTTCAGTCTTAAAAAAGAAATTGACCCATGTTAAAAATTATCTGTCAGCATTTAATTTTATTTTTCCTTATAGCTCTGACTTGTGTTTACTAAAAGAATTAGCAAGTAAATGCAGGACTTGGAAGTAACTTCCCTCACAAGTTGATGGAGATATGGCAGCACTGGGAGAACTGGTGATGGAGATGATAAAGGATCTGAGAGTAGAAGGAAATGGGCCACAGAAGGGATGGCTCATGGCAAAACAATTTGATCAGGAAGAGGACACAGCAAGGACATCCAGGAAAGAAACCAAAAAAAGGGAGGCACAGCATTTTCCCTGGGCTACAACTCTTATATCCTATTTATATTTTAAAGCCTTTGGACAAACTCCTCTTTCTTGCCTTCTCCTCTCTTTTTCTCTCCTTTTGTTCCTGTGGGTTGTGGTAGTTTGGATTTCTAAAGGGATAAAAATACCAGGGCTTAATATTGCTTTGAGAAATACAGGTGGCGTGGGGTAAAGGATTGTACCCATGCTTATTCTGAAATATTTCTGAGGGGAATTCAGTTTAGTATTGGTTTGAAATTGAAGGAATATTCCCCTTCAAGCTGAAAAACCGAAGAGAAGCTTGGAAAGACCAGTAGATTTAGAAATAATCTTGATGCAGCTTTACCTGCACCCATGTTTTTTGTTGGTTTATGGGAGTCATGGAGCATCTCCAGTCTGGATTATCAATCCAGCTTTGTTAGGTGAACTTTGAGCAGAGAATTCCATCTCCATTTAATCCTGTCCCATCTCTCCCTAGCCTGAAGCTCCGCTCTCTCCGAGTGAACGTGGGACAGCTTCTGGCCACCATCATGCCCGACCTGGACCTGCAGCAAGTGAATTACGACGTCGATGTGGTGGATGAAATCTTAGGGCAAGTGGTAGAACAAATGCATGAAATCAGCAGCACTTAAAATCTCCATGTTCCAGCAGAGTTTTATTGCTCTTCCATTATAACCTGTAGGTTCCAGACTGTAAATAGGGCTGCTTCACTTTATATATTTGACATAGGTGGATCTCTCAGTGTAAATATTCCACATTTAGCTGTTCACTTCCTCCTCAAGGAACACTGTCGATACTGACTCACCCTGAAGTACTTAATTAAGGATTTTGCTTTGGAAATGTATTTGTAATTAAATTTGCAGATATTTTTACTATTAGGAATCTTAATACTTTTCTACAGACACCTTTTGGTTGACTTTGGATCTTATATGAGCATTAATACCTGTGAGTATTTCCTCTTCTAAAGTAGTGAAATATCTTAAAAATTAAAAAAAAAAAAAAAAGAAAGAAAAAAAAAAGAACTTCCTTGATTTCCTTCCCAGAGTTGTTGTATCCCACAGTGTTGTTCCATTGCTCCCAGCAGTGTTCTGTGTTGCATTCTGTTACATAGAGATGTAAGTAGTAGGTGAGAATTTGGACAATATTTGGGGAATATTTGTGTGGTACTACCAAAAGAAGGCTTCTTTCAAGGGTTTTATCCTGCAAACTGGGGATGGGCCAGTTGGATGGAAGCATTTGGAAAAGGAGGGATGTTTCTTTGTCTGTGGTGTAAACTACAAGGTGAGCTAGAGCTGAAGATGTTCAGCTTCAACAGCTTTGGACAGTTTTTATTATAGGCAAGAAAAGGGAATTCCTCTTTTTCACATCTCCCCTTTTAGAGTTGTGTGCTCTAAATCTTCTCATTTTTCCATGGTCATGGGAAAACCTGGAAGCAACGGTACCAAGAGAAATTCCCAGCCAGCTGCAGGATTTCTTTCCAAGTCATTGCGAATGACAAACTGGGTGGCAAAGACAGCAAATCCATCTTTTCTTCTGGTGGGATTGGTCACCCAGAGAGCTATCCAGAAAAATGGGTCTTGCTTTTAAATAAAAAAAAAAATTAATTAAAAAAAAATCATTGAATTAGTTTTCAATGTGTTAATTCTTAGGAAGTATCTTTTTTTTTTTTTTTTAAATAAAGCCAATATTGTTGTTTTTTTTGCACTGCTACCTGAGTTAATCCCTTGGTGTCCCTTTTAGTTGTAGTTCAGTGGAATTCTTTCCATGGACAGTATTTCAATGGAAGATCTCTATGCCAATAACGGGAATGCACTACTGTTGTCTCTATGCCAATAACGGGAATGCACTACTGTTGTACTTTATAAAAGAGAAATTGAATGTTTGATTTGGGAAGAGGTGGCTGTAATATAACTACATATGACTTTTGCAAAGTTTATATTTCCCATTTCTTGGTGTGTAGCTTTTCCATTTCTTAATCATTATTTATTACGTTTCATCAGACTGTAGCTGAATTTCTTGTAGACAACTGGCAAAATAGAGCACATGTCTATATTAAAAATGGCAAATTTACAATGTACATTTACACTTTGGACAACGGTGGACTTATGGAAATGGTTTCTATTTACTTGTTAAAATGTATTTTTTGTAAAAAATAAAAAGCTAAAAATCGGGAGTTTGCAGGATCCCAACTTGTGTTTGTTTCTAAATAAACCCTGTGCAGAGTGGCTGAAGTGTTGGGTGTTACAAGAAAGCCTGGCTTTGTTGGACTGGGCATGTCAGTATGGAAATGGTGTGGGAATGTCCTGGATATGGAAAAAGCAGCGCCATTATAAACCAGGGAGTGTTCATGGAACTGAGCTGAATTTCAGGAAGTTCTGCTGTTGATTCCTGGCTGAGCTTCCCTGCCTTCAGAAGCTCACTGAGCACGTGAACTTGCACCATCCTGGTTTCCTAAGGCAGTTCCTCCTGCCATGGAACTCCTCAGGACTTTTGTAAAAATAATTTTAAAATTCCCTACTCCATACACATCCTTCTCCCTCAGCTGGAAAGAGATGGATAAGGAAGGGCTGGGATTGCATCCAGAGGTTTGTGGATCAGGGTATGGGGAGCAGGATTGGGAGTCCCTGGGGTGTGGGGACTGGGATTAGGATTGATGGAGATGGATGAGTGATGCTGCTAAAGATCAATAGATCACACAGACACAGGTTGAGGTGTGGTGCAAGAAAGAGCAGAGTTTATTTTTCCTCACAGGATTTATAGGCTTCTTACCATGGCCAGGGATTGGATGGTCAGGATAACACTTTCTCACTGCACTGGCCATGAGAGATGCCCATCACAAGACGTGTAACAGAAAGAATGTTCACATATCTATGTTTACAGTTACTGTCCTGGGAAAGTCCTTAGAAAACTATGTTAGCAAGCTCGGAAGCTGAGTTTTCAGGGCGACAGATGAGGACTGGATCTGTCAGGACTTAATTCAGTAAATGATCTCAAACACTGCCAGAGGAGGGAGATCCCTCAGGATAACTCAGCTAAGACAGGCACAGTTGGCAAACAGGAAGGGGAAAGGTTTGGAATGAGCACAGCACAGGACAAGATTCCAATGTGCAGACAGTGGGAAAAGCGCAGATGCAACACCAGGAAGGTGCCAGGCAGATCTGGGTGACCTGTTTGGGCAAAAATTCCCTCCACAGCAAACTGGGGGAAAAGGAAGCAACTGCTTCCATGCAGGCCATCCCAAATTGTGAAGGGAAGGGCAGCTGGAGCTCAGCCCTCTGTGGGGACAGGCTGCCAGCTCTGCCATGGCTGTCCTGCCTGGGGATCTCCAGGGACACTCACACCTGGGGCACAGGTGGGCAGCACAAGGAGATGGGGCCACAGCCCCACAGCCCATCCTGGGATTCTCCTGCAGCCCAACAGCCCCATGCTCATTGTCATTGTCCCCCAGGAGGGTGGCACAGGAGGGTATGGCCCCTGTGTCCCCGAGCTGGGGGCTCCTGCCATGGAGCACAGCACAAGGCTGGGAAGGATCAGAGCTTTGTGCCGGAGCCAAAGCAGCCCTTGGGCTGTCCAAAGGAGAAGATTCCAGAATTCAAGGGTTGTCCAGAGAGTAGGAGGACAATGACAGTGAGCTGTGACACAGGGATGACAATGAAGAGTTCTCCCGTAGGAATAGAAAGGCTGAGAGAATTGGGATTGTTCAGCCTGGAGAAGGTTTTAGGGTGACCTAATCGTGGTCTTCCAGTATCTGAAGGGAGGTGACATGAAAGATGGAGAGAGACAAATTTCCAAAGGATGGAGTGACAGGACAAGGGGGAATGGCTTCAAATTTAGAGAGTAAGTTTACATTGAATACTAGGATGAAATTCTTCCCTGGGATGGAATTCCCGGAGAAGCTTTGGCTGCTCCTGGAAGCGTCCAAGGGCAGCTTGGACAGGGCTTGGAGCAGCCTGGGACAGTGGAAGGTGTCCCTGCCATGGCAGGGGGTGGAATGAAGTGAGCTTTAAGGTCCCTTTTATGATTTTGTGATATAAAATTAATCTTCCTTTGTTCTCTGCTGCTCCCTCGCCTGCTGTGTGAGGCCGTGTTTGGCCTGGGGAGCTCTCAGAGCACCATTTTGGGCTTCAACCTCTGCCCAGAGGCTCTTCTTCCTGTGGGCAGGAGTGAAAGAAAAAGCTGTTATCTCACTATGATGATGATGATGATGATGATGACTATTATTATTTTTTATTTATTTATTTTTATTTTCTCCTGGCAAGAGGATTGCATTTGAAACAGGGAAGTTTGGGGACACGTTACCCTTTAGGATTTTTATGTACTTACACCAGTCAAGCACAGCAATGCCTGTGAAATTAAAAAAAAAAATTAAAAAAATAAAACCAAAACAAAATGAAAACAAAAAACCACACTGTTTTGAGAAGGTGCAAGCATTGGGCTTTTTAAATTTGAGGTTTATTCTTGATATTTTTGCGGGTTTGCCCCCGCCAGCAGCCCCTGAGGGCTCCTGAGGCAGCGCGCGGAGCGGGCGCGCGCATGCGCGGGGCGGGCTGAGGCGAGAGCGCGCGGGAGCCGCGGGCGGGCTCAGGTGAGGGCGGGAGGACCCGGGCCGGGGTCTGGGGGCTCTGGGGAGCGGGATCGGGGTTCCCCGCGGTCCGGAGAGCGGGACTGGGGATCCCCGGAGCTCCGGGAGCGGCCAGCGCCTCCTCTGCCATTCCCCTGTCCGCGCCGGGCCGCCCGTGCCCGCTCGTTGTTTGGATTCCAGATGGGGTTGTTACCCTAAAAAAGTTTTTTCTCTCAAGTCTTAAACCGATGCACAGGGCTCGATACCATCCTCTTGCAAGCCCCAAACAGGAACTTTAGGCGTAATAATCACAACTTTTAGAAACGGCCTCCCTCAAAGCATCTTGTCAATGTCTGCAGTGCAGTTCCGGGCTCTGCCAGCGGTGCCTGGGAAATCTGCACCAAGTTTGGCCTCCTGAGCCATAAGAAACAAGAATTGATGTGGAGTTTGCTCTGTTTTCTGCAGGAAACATGAAAGTCATCACCTGTGAAATCGTGTGGCACAATAAGGAGCCGGTTTACAGCTTGGACTTCCAGGCCTCGGCAGGGGTGGACACAGCCGTGAGGGTGAGTTCAGCCTGGGCCCGGAGCGGGTGCAGGCTGTGCGGGTTTGTGAGCCAAAATACCGGGTTGGTTTCCTTAGCCAGAATATCGGCTTGGTTTCGTTATCCAAAATATCGGCATGGTTTCACTAGCCAAAATATTGGGTTGGTTTCGTTAGCCAAAATATCGGGTTGGGTTCATTAGCCAAAATACTGGGTTATTGGCAGGTATTGGTGCCACGGGGAGTGGATGGTTCCAGGAAAGAGTGTAAGACTGTACAGTTGTCTATAGAATTATAAGGTGGTTTGGGTTAGAAAGGGACTTAAAGCCCAGTCAGTGCCAGCCCTGCCATGGCAGGGACACCTCCCACTGTCCCAGCTGCTCCCAGCCCCAATGTCCAGCCTGGCCTTGGGCACTGCCAGGGATCCAGGGGCAGCCCCAGCTGCTCTGGCAATTCCATCCCAGCCCTTCCCCACCCTGCCAGGGAAGAATTTTATCCTAATATTCAGTGTAAACCTACTCTCTTACTTGGAATCCACTCGCCCTTGTCATTACATACTCTTGTAAATAGTCTCTGTAGTAACTTATTCCAGCTGTCTCAGATAAAACTTTTAACTTCCTCACTGGCAAATTGACCAGTGTCCCTTCCCTGATGGTGCATATGTTTTGGGGATTTTTAAATACATATTTTAGAGCTAGAAAAATGTCAGTTTTCTTTGATATGAAAGATGCTCCCTAACAAGAGGGGCAGTGAGGGGGCTCTGCTGCCATGTCCCAAGGGAAGGGAGAGGAGGAAATGGCCTCAGATGGCACCAGGGGAGGCTCAGGTTGGACATAGGGAAAGAAAATTTCCCTGGAAGAGCAGTCAGGCCTTGGGATGAGCTGCCCAGGGAGGTTTGGAGTCACTGGAATTGTCCCAGAGGAGTCTGGATGTGGCCCTTGGGGACAGGGTTTGGGGCGATGCTGCTGGGGCTGGGGTGGCACTGGATGGTCCTGGAGGTCCCTTCCCACCTTGATGATCCTGTGGCATCACATCTTGCCCTCCAAAGCTGTAACACTCTCATAACTAGATCTGGAAAGTGGAGAAAGGCCCGGATGGAAAAGCCATCGTGGAATTCCTGTCCAACCTGGCGCGCCACACCAAGGCCGTGAACGTCGTGCGCTTCTCTCCCAGCGGGGAGATCCTGGCCTCAGGAGGGGATGGTGAGAGCTGCTTCTCCTCTGTCTCATCCAGGATTGTTTTCAAGTTAAACTAAATTAAATCCACCTTCATTACATTTTGTGTGAACAAAAGGGAATGGGAAATAAAGCAGCTTCCTCTGATTTCTTCTACAGACGCCGTCATTTTGCTGTGGAAGCTGAATGACAGCAAAGAGTTGGAGCCGTTGGTTTTTCAGGATGAAGATGAAGCTCAGCTCAACAAGGAGAACTGGGCAGTCGTGAAAACTTTGAGGTAATTTATTTTTTGGTGAGTTTGGTTGCCTTTTCAGTGTTTCTGTTTCCTCAGTGGCTTTTATCACTTGGTGCAGTTTTCAGTGTGTGTAGAACTCCAGGGCTGTCTGCAGTTTGCTTGCTCTGATATTAATCCTTTTAATTTTTTTAACCTAAAAATTCGTGAAACTCATATTTACACGTAGCTTTTAATTTTCAAATTAATAATTGGTTTCTCCTGCCTTCTAGAGGCCACTTGGAAGATGTGTATGACATTTGTTGGACCTCAGATGGAAATTACATGGCATCTGCTTCTGTGGATAACACAGCAATCATGTGGGATGTCAATAAAGGTAAATAAATGCTGCAGTTATCCCTGGGAATTCCAGATCTGCTGGAAGTGCCTCTTGGCATTTCCCACCCCCCAAAAAAATGGGGAAACATCTTTTTTTGTGCTTGTTTTCTTTGTGTGATTTCCTGGGTTTGTGAGGCCCTTCTATAAATAGATGTAAAATATTCGTAGGCCAGCAAAATTTACACCTGAGGAATCTGTTCACCTTGGAAATAACTTCACACATTTTTTTACCCCCCAAAACTCTTGCACAAACATATTCTATATTCCTTACTCCACTTTTTGGTGTTGTGCAGCGTGGCCTCAGCTCTGTTTGTGTCTTCCTTTTGAAAAGCTGTTTATTTTTTTTGAAACTTGTCAGCTTCTGGTATTTCTTTGCAAGAAAGCAATACTTAAATAATAGGAAAAATCCTACCTGTGGCCAGTATTCAACCAAGTTTTTCTAAAACCCTCTGTAACTTTGTCTCATCAAAGTATTTCTAAAATTCTCTGTAAGTTTTTCTCATCAATGTTTTGGCTCTGAGACCTTCCCTTGTGGAACATCAGTGGGGTCAGAGAGCTCCTGCTTTTGCTTATCTGAGTTCTAATATTAAATCTAATATTCATTCTAATTAATTATTAAATTTGTATTGAACAAACCTTAAACTGGCACTTGAAAAGCAATTTTCTCTGATATTTTTTTCAGCCACCATCCAATGAACACTTTTATGTTTAAAAAATTATTTCCTTACATTTTCAAGCATTTTTTTTTTGGTGTTGTTTTATGTCTAAAATGTTTGGAAACACTTTCAAATTTATGATCTGAAAGCTGTTTGTAATTTCAGGACAGAAAGTTTCAATATTTAATGAGCACAAGAGTTATGTCCAAGGAGTAACCTGGGATCCTCTAGGCCAGTATATTGCAACCCTGAGTTGTGACAGGTGAGCTCTTGGTCTGAGTGGTTTTCCTGAATGTTCCTTTTTCCAGGAGGATGAATTAAAAGAGGAAGGGTGTCAGATAAACATGAGGTTTTGTTTTATTCACTTTCTGGTCTAAGCAGGTTGGTGTGAGAGCAAAATGATATTTGAGTTCATTTTTTGGTTTGTGGTAAATGATTCCTGAAGTCTCTCTTAGCAGCAAATAAACTTTTGTAGGAGTCTTCCTTTAGGAATGAAGTTTTCATGTTATTGATCATTATTGATACTCGTTAAGAGAGTGGTTGTGTTAGTGAGCTGATAAATTCATCCCTGGGCATGGAGCAGCCTGGAAGGGTGGAATTAAATGATCTTTAAGGTCCCTCCCAGCCCAAAGCATTCCATGATGCTGTAACAGATAGAGATGTAGTTAGTTGTTTTTAAGATGAATTCCTACTCTTGAAGAACCTACAGTGCAGGTAGGAAGAGCCTGGCAGTTCCCTGTTTCCTAATTCCCTTATTCCTCCATAAATCGATGTGCTGGGACTTGCCAAACCTTGTGGAGTCCAAACATTGCAAGGGGTTCTTTGGTTCTTTAGTCATTAAAGCACATCCCTTTGGGGGTGTCTCCTGTGAGGAGAATTTTAATTCACGGTTAATTTGGGGTCCAGATTTATATTTTGAGGTGCTGACTGAGAAGAGAGGTCCTGGGGCATTTTTGGGAAAATTGGGGTGAAAGGAGACTGTTCATGTGAGAGCTGGGATTGTTCAGCCTGGCCAGGAGGAGCTTTGGTCTGAGCTCAGGGTGGCCTTGCAGGGCCTGAAGGAGCCCCAGGAAAGCTGGAGAGAGACAATTGCCAAGGGCTGCAGGGCCAGGAGCCAGGGAATGGCTGCCAGGGGCAGAGGGCAGGGCTGGATCTTGGGATCTTGGGCAGGAATTGTTCCCTGGCAGGGTGGGCAGGGGCTGGGATGGAATTGCCAGAGCAGCTGGGGCTGCCCCTGGATCCCTGGCAGTGCCCAAGGCCAGGCTGGACATTGGGAGCTCCTGGGACAGTGGGAGCTGTCCCTGCCATGGGAATGATTTTTCATGTCCCTTCCAAAGGATTCCATCATTCCCTGCTGGAATTCTCTGCTCTCCCTTGCAGGGTCCTGCGGGTTTACAGCACCCAAACCAAGCGAGTGGCCTTCAATGTCACCAAGATGCCATCGGGGTCAGGAGCTGAAGGAGAGGTACGTGGTTCTGCTGGGGCTGGAAACTCTGCTGGGGGCTCTTTTAGCTGAACTTTCTGTTCCATGAAACCAAAGGATCAAATATTTTCCATGCAAATAATTATGTCACAGAATCATCTTGGAAGGGACCTTCAGGCTCATCCACTCCCACCATCATCACCCCGAAACAACATCCACAAAGTTTCTTGATTAAAGTAACACAATCCCTTTGTTGTAAAAGTTAAAAATAGTGTGGAAAAAAACAGTTCTTAACAGGAAAACCTTCAAACATACCTGGCAGTAGCTGGGAGTTTATTAATGGATGTGACACAGTAATAATATTTTAAAGCTAACAGTCTGGAATTTTTAAGGAGGTAGTTAGATTTTGTAGAAAAATATGAATTAGGGATAATTTAGGAAATTATAATCCTAAGAGGAAAAACAAAGTTTTTTTTCCCCTCCCAAACAGCTTTAAATGATAGTAAAATAACACCTCCAAGCTGGCTATAACTTCCTTAATTCCTTCTATTCACTCCTTTTCTTTTTGGGGAAAAACATTTTTAAGAGTTTTTATAGACCCTGAAGAACAGACTCAGAGCAGGCACTTTGCCATGAGAGAAATTCTCTTTCAACCTCTAATCCTGGGGTTAGAATGAGATGCCTGAGCACCACTGGGTGTTAAATAATGTTGTTCTCCAGGTTATGACTATTTTTTGATGGCTGCTTTAAGGTGACAGCTCTGGGAGTGTTTTGCTTTGCAGCTCAAGAGGGATCAAGGACTATTTTTCTTAGCTCTGAAGAATTTCTAGAGAGCTCGAAGGAGTTATGGCTTTTAAAAGGTTTTATTTGAAAAGTTCCATCAGGCTGGAGTGTCCAAGTGGATGTTTTGTCTCGCTGGGATTGCAGCTGGCACATTCCTGGCCTTTTCCACAATCCTGTTTTCCGTGTCGCAGGCGCGGAGCTTTCGGATGTTTCACGATGACAGCATGAAGTCGTTTTTCCGCAGGCTCAGCTTCACTCCTGATGGCTCCTACCTGCTCACTCCAGGTGTGGGGACATCTCCTGTGGCTTGGGTTGTGTCACTGAGGTTGGAAAAGATTCCCAAGGTCATGGAGTCCCAGCTGTGCCCGATGCCCACCTTGTCCTCAGCCCAGAGCCCTGAGTGCCACGTCCAGCCCTTCCTTGGGCACCTCCAGGGATGGGCACTGCAAAGCTCCCTGGGCAGCCCCTGCCAAGGCCTGAGCTCCCTTTCCATGGGCAAATTCCTGCTGCTGCCCACCCTGAGCCTCCCCTGGCCCAGCCTGAGGCCTGAGCTCTCCTCCTGTCCCTGTTCCCTGGCAGCAGAGCCCGACCCCCCCAGCTGTCCCCTCTGCCAGGGACTTGTGCAGAGCCACAAGGGCCCCCTGAGCCTCCTTTGCTCCAGGCCTTTTCTCATTCCTATTATATCCTAATTGGCATGTTCTTCAGTATTTCCTACATCTCAGGGATGCTGATCTATCCTAATTAAGCCATTCTTCATTCTCCCTATTGAAGAAAATAAAAACTCCACAATACTCTCCATTAACACTCCACAACATCAACTTTCTCCCATGATAAAAGTGATATTTATGCCGTTTTGTTGAATAAATTGCAACACCAGAAGTCTTAAGATAGAAACAAAGGATAAATTGAGTGGGTTTTTTTTGACTGGTCTCTGTTTGGGTCCTTCCCTCAGAACATTCTGCACTCAGAGTAAAAACAGCCCTGCAAGGAGGGATTGGTGTGTGCCTGTCCAAACCCTGCTTTTATTGATGTCTGGCAACATCAAAAAAGCAGCTTTGAAGAGGGAAGTGTATGAGGGAAACAAAACCAGCACTAAATAAATATTTGGGATGCCTTTTTAAGTTGTATTCAGCTTTTGCCCAACTGACAAGCCTAATTCCTGGGCATTAGAATGTTTATGGAGAAGCCTGATTCCCAGGAACTGGAATGTTTATGGACACAAGGTGTGTGCTCAGGAGCTCTCTGAGGTGATGAGTAATGCTGGAACCTTTGTTTTTGCAGCTGGCTGCGTGGAATCGGGAGAGAACGTTACAAACACCACCTATGTTTTCTCCAGAAACAATCTTAAAAGGTAGGGCTTTAGTGAGATAAAAATCTGGTTTTATTTCAAAAGAAGCCATTCAAATAGTGCAAATCTGAACTCCTGGTTCTCTCTGAAGGCCCGTGGGTCACCTGCCCTGTCCTGGCAAGGGAACTCTGGCTGTTCGCTGCTGTCCTGTGTACTTTGAGCTGAGAGGAGCCTCTGCTAAAGGTATGGGGAGCTTCAGGGAGTGGGAACTCCCAGCAAATCTGGGAAAAGATGTGGCTGGACATTGTTTTATGCCCCAGCCTTTCTGCATGTCCTCTAAGACAGTGCTGTACCACATCTGAGAAGCTGTTTCCTGATTCTGAGGCCCTGAGTTCACCTCAAGTCCCTCATGAGTGGCTTTTGGTAGGGTGGATAAATGTTGTTCCTTGGCCTCTCAGGCTGCAGAAACACTGTGAAATATTTTCCTTGAACTGTTAACCATTTTGTGTTCAAAATAAATAACCTGGTTTAGCACCAGAGGAGCAATGCAGTGCAATAATTCCTGTTAGTCTCAACTGCCCACATCACAAGGAGTTGGAATAGTTTGCTGAAACCACCGGTGTTTATTCAAGGAAGCAGTGCTGGTGTTACTGGGCAGAACAGGAATTCTGAGCTGGGGACAGGATTGTGTGCAGTTACACAAGAATTGAGTTTTTATTTATTTAATCCAGCTTTATTGTGGGTCTGGGGATGTTTGTACTTTAACAAGACTGACACTGGTGAAAAGGCAGAGCTTGGCTCCTTTCTTTAGAGGTTAAATTTGTAGTATTCCCTACAAGATTTACCTGTTCTATTTCCATCATAATTTTAGGTCCATGGTGTTGCAAAGGAAGGAGATGAGGGGTCTGCAGTCGGTCTCTGTAGCTCCTCTAAAGGGAGATTTCAATATTAAAGCTCATATAAATATACTGGAAAAATTCCAGCTGGAAAATAGAGGGGAAAATTTACAAAACAAAACATTAGTGATCCAGAGTGAGAAAGCTGCCAATTTTTTTTTTCAGCTAAGAAAATAAAGGGTAAATTTCAGACAACAGAAATGTTAAATTTTACATTTTATGCAAGAGCTGTCTGCTCAGTGTTTATACTGATAGATGATGTAATTTTATTTAAATTAATGGCTGAGTGCAGTCACTATCTTGCAAGAAATACAAAGGGAATCCTGTCTGTCCATTTCTTTGCAGATGAAACCAATCCCAAATCGCCCCCTGCCCTGTTTAACCTCCCCTATCGATTGGTGTTTGCTGTTGCTTCAGAAGATTCTGTGCTTTTTTATGACACTGAGCAGTCCTTCCCCTTTGGTTATGTCTCCAACATCCACTACCACACCCTGAGTGACATTTCATGGTAAGGAATTGCATTCCTAAGATTTATTGTGATGGGGGAAATGTCCTTTTTCCATGTCCACTTCTGCACTTTGGGCTGATATTTCATTTATGACACACACTCAGTGGTCACTCAGTGTCTGAGCAGCAATGTTTTGCTCTGTAAATGACAGAATGATGGCTCTTAATCAGTTGGGTGAGGGTTGAAGTAAAATCATGGCCTTTAATGGCAAAAAATAAATCCCAAACAGGTCCAGTGACGGATCCTTCCTGGCCATTTCCTCCACGGACGGGTACTGCTCCTTTGTCACCTTCGAGGAGGATGAGCTGGGAACACCCCTGAAGGAAAAGCCCCAGATCCATGTCAGAACTCCTGGTGCAGCAGCAGCAGACAAGAAAGCCAAGAAGAGCCACAAAGTGATTTCCCCAGGCTCCAGGCTGGCAGAGGGGACCCCTCCCAGCAAGGATCCCCCAGTCCAACCCCGAACCCCCAGCACTGCTGGGAAGGAGCTGCCTTCCACCCCTGTTGGCATCAAAACCCTTCCAGTGCCATCCCCTTCCACCCCTGTTGGCATCAAAACCCTTCCAGTGCCATCCTCAGAGGAGAGGAGAAGCAGCCAGGCAGCCACCCAGAGCAGCAAAGCCCCCCAGCCCAGGAGGGTCACCCTCACCACTCTGCAGTCCTGTTTCAAAACACCCAGGTGAGATTTCTGGTGCCCCTTCCAGGCATAAATACAGGGGCCAAGACAAGCTGTGTTTGTGCTGCATTTAAAGGCTGAGCTTTGCACACAAATTCCCAGCCCTGGCTCTGAGTGGAAGAGCCAGGTCTTGATGTGGAGTTTTTTTGTTGTCTCCTAAACATGGAGCTTTTAGGTTTTTCTGCCTGAAATGTGAGGCAGCAAATTCACCTGACCCTTCACAAGAAAAGGTGTGTCTGTCTTGGCCAGGAGTTGGGCTTTGATCCTCGTGGGTCCCTTCCAGCTCAGAATATTCTGTGACTCTGTCTTCAGGTCCAGTTTTCTGTACAAAAACAGCACCTGAAGCCTTCAGCTGCCAAGAACTGTTTAAACACCCTTCTGCCAAAGAGCATTTTAAGAAGAGTGCAAGTCTAAACAGGCCCTCAGTGTGGGACTTAAAACACTGATTAGGTGACTTCCTGAAAGTTGTATTTTTTTAGTAGTTTTCAATAATCTAGGTATTGATTGTATTGGGGCTCTGAGCACCCTGATCCAGGGGAAGGTGGCCCTGCCCATGGCAGGGGGCTGGAAGTGGGTAATACTCCATTCAACTTGTAAAAAGAAGGGGAAATGTGCAGTAGAATGTGTCTGAACTACCTTTGCAGTTAACTGATTCTGTAGGAATTAAATCTTGAAGTGAAATATTCGTGGAAATGATGCCTACAAAGCAATTTAACTGTTTCTGCTCTTTTAAAGGAGAATAAACCTGATTTCCTTGAAGCCAGACACCCCAGCCTCTGCATTTCCAGACCCAGCTCCCATCCCTCCTTCCTCAGAACAGGAACATGGTGAGTTTTTGTGGCTCTTAATTCCAGCCAAGTTTCTTCCCAGTCAGATTTTCCCCTTACAGGTTTATTTTGTAAAAAAATCCTCACTCTTATTGCAAATTCTGAAGCTACTTGTTTGTTTTGATGTGAAAGGTGCTCTGGGCAGTGTGAAATGTGTTCTCCCTGCTCTGGGGCAGCTGATTGTGATTGTCCCTACAGTTTTAGAGCAGTGAACCCAAGGATAAATTCATGGGTGTGATGTTCTCCAGCTTTTAAAGACTTTTGTACTTGCAGCTTATCGTTGTTGCAGGTGCTGGACTCTCTCAGACCAGGCTTGGGTTTGTTTTTTTTAATATCTGAATTTATTAATTTGAAATGATTTTCCTGTCTGATTATTCCAGAGAGTCCATTGCCATCTGATGAGAGCCTCCAAGCTCCCCCAGCACCAAAACGTGCCAGGACTGAGGAATTGCCCCTTCCTGCATCTGCTGGAGACCAAACCAGCTGTGAGCCCAACAAATAAAGGCTGAGCAGACCCCTCACAGCCTGAAGTCAAAGCAGCCATGTCTGAGTACATTTCTTCTTGCAAAAATTCAACCCTCAATTCCCAGTTCAAGTTCCCTGTGTGTATTTGATGTAGAACTGTGAAGAAACTGCCAGTAGAAGACCCAGGTTTCAGGAATGTGGTTCTGCAGCAGGAGAAATAGTTGGGAAGTGACTCCAAGAATAAGAAAATCAGGGAAATCTGGGGATTGAAAATCCATCCAGTAAGCTGTGAGTCTCCTCAATCCATGTTTAGAAAGCATTATGTCTTCCAGTAACTGTCTGGCAAAAAGAATCAAATTTTTTCATAAGATCTGACATGCTTCAAGACCTAAAAAAAGAGGAAATTGTGTCATTCCAACATTTTGTTTTATTTCTTGTGTAAAACAGTGTTCACCAGTAGCTGATTCACTGTGAGGCAGCAGCAAAGCTCAGGACTGGGATGTGGAAGCAGAAAAGGGAAGATTTAACTGCAAGAAACAAGAAAGCAAAAGGAAGAAATCCTCTGAAGAGCTGCTGTAAGAATGAAACAGCAGAAAGTTCTCACTTGTTTAATTTCTAGACTTAAATGCAGGTGTTAGATTTTCCTGAGGCAGCAGGATTTGAGTGTGTACATTGAAATTTCCCCTTTTTCCCCAACTTAACTCCCTTAGCCAATAAAACACAATCCAGTGGATGGGAAATTTCTACACCTAAAATTTCTTTTTAGCATTTAGTACTTCATAAAAGCAGAAATACAAATGTTCCAGAAGTCTCACAGGGAGGAAATATTAACAAACACCTCTGTCAGTCCTTCAGGCAAATGAACTCTTGCCTTCAGTTAAATTTCAACAATTAATGAGCAAAAAGTTGTTGGAAACTTGGTGGGATCTTTGTTTTCTTACTGTGATGAGGATGGATCTTCGTTAGACTTAATTAAACCTGGGCTTTTTTCTAGTTAAGAATTATAAAGAGTTTAATTACATTTATTTCTCTGGCTTGCTTGTAGATCTTTTAAAAGATGATTTCTGTGTCCCTATTTCTGCATTTTTTTTTTAATATCAATCAATTTTCTCCAAAAAAAAAAGTTTATTTTCCTTCCAGAATTAGATTTGCTTGAGGAAAATTAGTCCATGCCTTGAGAGCATTTCTCAGTTGGGAGATGCAAAATGATCCTCCTGAAATTCCACAGGCAGCTCCAGCTTTTCCATGGATGGCTTCAGCATCTTTCTGCAGAATGGGGAAGCCCTGTGGATCATCAAAAACCACTTTGCCGTGGATAAAATCACACGTGGACACCTGAAAATCCAAATATTTCTGTGAGCCTCTGAACTGAGCAGGATTTGTTCCACAGGGATTTAGAGGTAACTGCACCAGGAGTTTCAAATACAATTTGTAATTTTTTACATGGGTTTAAGTGGAGTTTGCAATATTTCAGACAGGTTTCAAATAGAATTTGCAATTTTTTACATGAGTTTCAAATAGAATCTGCATTTTTTTAGATGGGTTTCAAATACAATCTGCAATTTTTCAGATGGATTTCAAATAGAATTTGCAATTTTTCAGATGGATTTCAAATACAATCTGCAATTTTTTAGATGGGTTTCAAATAGAATCTGAAATTTTTCAGATGAGTTTCAAATAGAATCTGTAGGCTTTTAGATGGCTTTCAGGTAGAATTTGCAATTTTTCAGGTGGGTTTCAAATGGATTTTGCAGTTTTTTAGATGGGTTTCCACCAGATTTTGTAACTTTTTAGCTGGGTCAGGATTCATGATTGTCTTGCTCCTGAAAAGTCTTTTTGCTGTATAATAATGATTAATTCTGAGACAGCCAGACCTTGTGCTGCTGTGCTGTTGAAGATTTAATTTTTAGCTCCCCAGCTGTCAATATTAATTTATCTTGTCATTAATTAACCACTGCCTTCTGGTCAAAATCTGCTTTATCCTTGCCCATGGATTCCAAACAGACTCTGTATTTTGTCTGCACATTACCTGTGTTTATATGAACATTGTTATCAAATAAATAACATAAAGACCATCAAATTAATCAAGAAAAACCAGATTTTTCAGGGAACTCTGGGTGTTTTCTGCTCTGGCAGCTGCAGGATCCTGAAGAAGAGGCAGATGGATTATGTGCTAACAAAAAATGTCATGAATTAAATGACATCAGGGATGTGATTCCACCGCTTCCCTGGGCATCCTTCCTTTTCCAGGAAGAAATTTTTCCTGATATTCAATCTAACCTGGCCACAGCCCTGTGCCCAGCACAGGGACAAATTTTGGCAGTCCCAAATCTCTCAGTGGTCCCTGTGAAAAATGGAAATTGTGGAAATCAGGCAGGTGTGAGATGCTCCTGCCCTGGGGGAGCTCCTGATTTTCTCTGGCCACGTGGAAGGAGGGTGTCCATGGAAATGGAGGGAGTGGAAAGGTGGGAGAGGAAAAGGGACAGGAATGGATTAACTGGAGCTGGGATGTGGAGAGAGGCTGGAGGAGGAGACAAAACTGGTGTTTGAGGAAAAGAAATGGATGGGGAAGGAAGCTGAGAGGGAGTTTGGTGTCTTTGGGAATTCCTCTGCAGGAACCTCAGCCCAATGAGGATCTTGGTTATCCAAGAACACCTCATTTTCCAGGCTGGGTTTTAGTTGAGAGGTTTTTTGTGGGATTTTTTTTTCCCCTCTGGGATTGGGAGACTTTTTTTGCCACAAAATTCCGATTTTGTGCTGCCAGCAGGTGACAGCATTCCCTAAAGCAAAGCAAACTGAGCAGAAGTTCCCCTTTACTCCAGATTTCCATCCTCCCAGACATTTTTCATCCTCTACTTTGTTTTGTTCTACAAACTGATCATTTCAGGCTTCTTTCCACATGGTGAAGAAGCAAATGGGGTTTTACAGGGAAGAGGAAAACGCAGCAGGATGACTTCAGTGGTGAGCAGAGCACAGCCTCTCCTGCTCAGTGAATCCAGAGGCTTTTCCAGGAGGAACTGGCACTACAGAGTGTCCAAACAATCTTGGATTAATCATGGGCTGAGGTGACACAGATTCCCAGGATTGTACATCCAGCAGAACCTCTGTTATAAATGCAAATGCTGGACTTGCCAGTGGAACTTTTAAAAAAAATCTTTTTTGTTTCATTTCTCTCTCAATTCTGCTGCTGTGCTTCTTCTGCACTTCTTTTCACTCCTGGATTTCTCAGCTCCTCTGAGCTGAGCTCCTTGGGGATGTTCCCTCACGGGGAGTCCCGTTTATCACAGCCCTCTGGGTCAGGACACAAACTCCAAAGCCTCTTGGGATCTTCTTCCTCGTGTTTATTAGGATGTTATCACAAAACCTGGCAGGTCTCTCCAGACTTTCTGCACAAGTTTAATTCACCTCAATCTGGTTCATTTTCTCCTGATGGTACAGAATGGCCTCACTTGTGCCTCACTTTGGGCTTTGAAGGCACAAAACAGCCCCGAACCACTCAGTTCTTTTATCTTTATACTCATTCTTACCCAATTAACAATAGACACGTAAATTATTTTTCTTAATGACCCAATGACCCATCACCTGAGTGCTGCACTGTGACATTTTCTATCCAATCACTCACTATTATCCAAAAAACCTCAAGAAGAAGAACATGAAGAAGAAAGAAGAAGGAAAAGAAACAACATTCTAAACCTTCCATCTTGTCTTCTGCTTTCTAAACTATTTTAAACTTTAACTTTTTCACCCAGTGACTTAAGAAAACTCTCTACTCTACACACACTTTCAGCTTTTCTATCTAACTTTAACAGTTGTTTTCATGTATCATTGTGCAAACATGCTCATAAATTTCATGTTATATGAAATTCAAAAATGTATTGATTGGTTTGATAAAAGGTGAGCAAGTTTTTACAGTGCTGGGTGCATTGAGGGCCTGTACCCTCAGCAACACACAAATTCAGGTCTCAGAGGTTCATCCCTTACACCATTCTAGGCATTTCCTCAAATCTTCAGTTATTTTCTATTTGCTTTTTCTTCATAATCGGCAGTTGTGGTTCTTGGACATCTATTGGGGAGGTGGTCCAAGGTGATGTCTCCTTAGTCTCTCATCTTTTAAATTATCTTTTTCTCTTAGCAGTTTATTTAACTAAGCTTACATTTTGTTAGTCAGCATATATTTTGCAAGCTTTCTTCCAATAACTTCCCTATTTTAACCTGTCTAAAAATACCTTCATAGGCTCTTTCCTCAGTTATTACAAAACTCAAAGTTAGCATGTTCCAAAATGCTTTTGCAGAGCTTTTTAGCTCTTGTTGGTCTTAGTGATTACAATTGTTTCTTAAAATTAGTTTATACAAAGGATACAAGGTAGTTTAAAGTTTAATATTTTGTTTGTTAGAACAAGCTGTTATCTATAAAGCTCATTGCTATATAATTATTTAGTTAAACTTTATTTCCATGCTTTATTTTAGTTAATTTTCCGAATATTTTTTGGTAATAATCCCATGGTCTCTGCATTGCTCACAGACACACATCCAGAGGTGAGTGTTAATTGATTTACACCAATCACCATTTAATTTCCCACACCTCTGGCTGTGGGAACAATCCACAGGGTCTTTATGGAGAGACTGGCACGGATTTGGGGTTTTGGAGAGAAATCCACCGAGGGAAGAGGTTCAGTGCCTGGAGGAGGTGACAGGAAAGGAGTGACAGGACAAGGGGGAATGGCTTTGAAATGACAAAGAGTGGGGTTAGGTTGGATAAAGGGGAGAAATTCATCCCTGGCAGGGTGGGGAGAGGCTGGGATGGAATTGCCAGAGCAGCTGGGGCTGCCCCTGGATCCCTGGCAGTGCCCAAGGCCAGGCTGGACACTGGGAGCTCCTGGGACAGTGGGAGGTGGCCCTGCCATGGCAGGGGGTTGGAACTGGAAGATTTTTAAGGTCACTCCCATCCCAAATCCCTCTGGGCTTCCCCAGGTATTTTTCCCTGCTCAGGAATCTCTCAGCCCTCATTCAGCAGTGCTTTGACCAATACTCTCCAAAGTCAAATCCCAACATTTGCTCCCAATTCTCCCTCTCCCTGAGCAGCCCCAGCCTCACACAGCAGCTCTGTTTTTCCTCAGGGGTGGGATTTTGGGATGCTGCCATTCCCTTTCCAAGGGCATCTGACAGAGCTGCAGAGAGACAGGACTGGGGGCACTGAGGCTGCTCCTCCTTCCCAACCCCTGTGGGAGAAGCTTTTCCATGCTCATCATCTTGGAATCTCCCAGCAAAAAAAGCTGGAATGGGCAAACTGGGAGCAGTTTTCCCTCCTGTGGCTGCCAAACTTCCAGCTCAGGGACATTGATACTGGTGAGGATCCTGCTGCTCATTCCTTCAGCTGGAAAATCCCAGGAAAAGCCACAGCCCCGAGGTCTCTGGGCTTGCAACCCAACAGGATTTGCCTCTCAGAGCATGAATAATTAAAAAAGTTCACAGATTTCTTTCTGTCTGGAAACTGGGTGTAAATTTGGGCTCTTCCAATGTCTGGGAAAACCTGATGCTCCTGAAAGGAGAGGAACCTGTTTGTGTCTTTTAAGTTGTTGCCATCTTTTCTGTCAGGGCTGAACTCCCCAAATCTTCCTATTTGTGCTCCAATTATTTGTGTTTTCTGCTTAAAATGTTTTCCTTGCTGAGAGTTTAACCAGGAAATCTTCATTTTGAAGGGAATTGTTTCCTCTGTGCACCTTTCCTTCTCAAGATTTGAGTTTCAATAATGCTAAATTTTGATCTTAAATAATGTCAGGTTTTGTCTCAGCGTAAACTTCTCCCCTTCAGCCACCAAAGTTAAATAAATAAGCTTGGCAGGAATTTTTGCTTTGATTTCTGCCAAGCTGAAATAACGTTCAGAATGGTACTTGGAGCTCACTGAGTTCTCCTCCTACAAACCAGGAGCTGCAGGAGCCTCTGGATATTTTTCTTTTCCCTTTTCCTGTGGGGTTGCACCAGCTGGATGTGCTTACAAATAAATAGCAGGGCAGGGAAGGAGGTGTGGATTTACTCTGCAAGGAGAGGAGGTGTTGGCTCTGTGCTCCAATATTGGAAATTTGAAATCCCTAAAAAAATCTGCATCTCTGCTGTGGGATGGATTATTGCAAGGGAAAATTGACAGCCAGGAACAGTCAAATCAGAGTTCCTTGCTTGGATCAGCAGGAACAGCACAAAACACTTTCCATTTTAGTGGATAAATGATGTAATTCTGAGCAGACAGTGCAGGGAAAAGATGGGTTATTGTCATGGCAGTTATTCCTTGGAATGGGAAATCCTGTCTAGTGGGAAAGGATGAGCATAAAACAACTGCATTTTATGTCCAGGCAGGGTTTCCACCAAAAAAATGGGAGAACTTTTCCAGGATCTGAGATGTGCTGCTTCCTGGAGCAGGTGGGCTGGTAAATTCACCATTGTTTCTGTTCACTCTCAGCTTCCCAGAAGGAGGGAAGAAATATTCCTAATAAATCACAAAATCATGGAATGGTTTGGGTTGGGGGGACCTTAAAAATCATCTCATCCCACCCCATCCATGGCAGGGACACCTCCCACTGTCCCAGGTGCTCCCAGCCCCAGTGCCCAGCCTTGCCAGGGGCAGCTCCAGCTGCTCTGATGTGGCTCTGGGAGTTGTTCCCTTGAATTTTTCTTGTCAGTGTAGAAAAATTTATGTGATACTGCAAAGAAGGGATTATAAAAGAAAATATAATAAAACCACCAAAAATCACGAATTATTACAGCAGTCAGGATAAAGTAATTCCAGAGCTGGAACGTTAAAATTTCACTTTCAAGCCATGTCAAATACAAAGAGTATTGAAAGTGATTCCTTGTCCTTTTTTATTCCTTCTCCTTTCTGCAGGAAGAGGGGATTTTCACTTCTAGAATTTCTGCTTGGATAACTCAAGGTGAATTTTGGAGTGAGGTTTTCAATACGATCTATAAATCCCCGAGGACAAGGAGCACAGTCAGAGGTGTGGTGTCCCCTTATCCATTGTACACATGTTCTTGCTGTAAAAATAATTTATATATTTTATGTATATAAATTGTATATATAAAT